GCTACCTTCTACCCGTTTAACCAATTACCTGCCCTCTTGCTTAGTTGCCTCATAGTTGTCAAGTCCTATAACTCATTGCTGGTGCTTCCACACCTCTATCATTGTTTTGGTCACCACACTCTACCACATGCCTTCCAGCTTTAAGCTATGCCATTCCCATTTCCATTGGATTCCCTTTGGCAAGGGGTTCTTATGAACCTACCAACATAACCTCAAGGTATCACACCTTGGCACATTTGGTGTCTCCACACCATTGGCCCCACGAGCCTATCCTTATGATACTACGTATTAATGTCTAGGTCTTTGCCAAGACTAATATGGTTGTTCCTCATACTAACTATCCATTAGCACCGCACCATAGTATTTGCACCCAACTCTAGGCCAAAGTTGCTTTCTTATAGGAACATCTTTTCCACAACTTTAGTATGGCAGATTTTGCCATCAATGAGATACCTACTGTTCTCATACTTGGATCTTATGATCCTCCCCATACCTCATGGGGCACCATACACCTCAATCCAAATGTTTCAACCAATCCCTTAAGATTATTCCTTGACTCTTATTTGAGTCATTCAGCTTTTTGGACTTTATCATCCGACGACCCGTGAGGTCCTACCTTTGAGCTGCTAGCTCACTGGAATACAACTTCTTGTATTCAGATCCTACTCACAAGGACCATCTTTGCAAATGTTACTCTGACACTTGATTTGTTCTCTTGGGGCAACCTTTTGCCCCTTAGGACCACTTGTCCATGTGATAAAAATACCAACTCATCCTCTGAGTACACCCCCAACTCCTTGGGTTGTTCCAGCATTTATTAGAGGTAGCCCCAGCTACCATTTCGAGGACTTGTGTCCTCTTCTGTATTTGACCTTCCATGGTCATCAATTCCGGTCTCAAAGTTATGAGCACCAGCCTCAACTATATGAGGGTAATCTTGTGACTCCTTTATTGTTTTAGAGTCTGCATCTTTCCCGTGATCCCAACTATAGTTGTTTACCACAACTATGTTAGCCCGTTTGCTGCATCAAACGCTCATCTGGATCACATCCTCACTCAATGAGGAAAGCTTTACACTATTCCCAAGATCCTAAAGTCGTTCCATCATTGGCCCTTTTTCTATCCACCACCTTGCCTACAAGTTCACATGTGAACTATAGTGGACAGCCATGTCTTCCCGACTTGCTACTCGTCAAGGATAAGCCCACTCCTAGGACCTTCGATGCCAACGCTAGTGGTGATATACTTCAGCACCAATAAAAGTCAGACTAAGGAACAACTCTGATACCAAATTGTAAGCGACTAAATTTTCCATTCTACTTTAGTCACTTAACCACACCTCCGACCACTTGGAGGAGTCTCACTCACAACCTCCATAAGTCCTATTTCGGACTTGGGCTTGCTAGCCCCGAGAACGGCATCCCCACCATTCAACCTTTGCACTTGGTCCAAGTGCTCCACATGTCCGATCCCATGACCGACACCCCAAGGTACCACTGTCATATCAGCCTGTTACGCTAAGGCCATGCCCATTCACCTTGGTCACATCGGTGGTCTGACACCACCTACATCACAGTCCCGTCTGTCAAAGACTGGGCCATCCGTCCATGAGTGATCATCCTAGATCCACTCCTTAGCATCTTTAGGATGCCCCTAGACATGAGGAATAGCCTTCCCCAATATCCCCTTTCCGGTCCCCACCAAGTCCCTTTCTATCCTGGGCCGTGTTCACCAACACTACCACTGGATCAAGGCCAACGAGCCTGACCACTAAGTCTCACTGTCCTCTAGGACTTCCTCACTGTGTGACTATGTCCTTGGTCACCACACTAGAGGGCTACTCCTCTTCCTTTACACAGTTTGGGACTTTGGGACAATATTTTGGAATACTGTGGCCCTACGCGGCCCTCATGGGTACTCTCCCCACCTTCCGCATTTAGGTGCTCTAGCCATGGGCTTAGAGCGACGTTCCGTTGAGCCACGCCTGGTATCCAAGTAGGTAATGCCACCCACACTTGGACTGGGAGCATCGGCCAGTCAATCTCTCGCTGGAACTAGAGCTGGCTCTTGAATACTTCACCAAGCTACCCCGCTTGTTGGTCTGTGTTCACTCTAGTCTTGACTTCCCAGTGGGCAGCTCATCACCCAACACTGGGTACAGCATTTCTGGGCCAAACTGGCCTTTCCTGGCCAAACTGGCTCCACTGCAGTCCTCCCCCCTACTATACTTTTGGAGCTCACTAAACCCCCCAGGGTCTGGGAGACGAACGCTTTGGGCTTTCACCCTCTCAGACTTAAACTTGGACTTGGACTCGGACTCAAACTCGGACTCAGACTCGGACTCGACCTCGGACTCGGACTTGGACTCAGACTCGGCCTCGGCCTCGGTCTCGGTCCCAATCTCGGTGTCGGTGTCGGTCTCGGTCTCAGTCTCAGTCTCGGTCTCGGTCTCGGTCTGGGTCTTGGTCTCGACCTTGGACTCCATCTCGGGTCCTTCTCGGATTCCATCTCGGGTCCATCTCGGACTCCATCTCGGTCCACCTCGGACTCCATCTCAGACTCCATCTCGGACTCCGTCTCGGTCCACCTTGGACTCCATCTCGGACTCCATCTCAGACTCCATCTAGGACTCCGTCTCGGTCCATCTCGGACTCCATCTCGGGTCCGTCTCGGACTCAATCTCGGATCCATCTCAGGTCCCTCTCGGGTCCACCTCGGACTCCATCTCGGGTCCATCTTGGACTCCATCTCGGACTCCATCCTGGGTCCATCTCGGATCCACCTCGGACTCCACCTTGGACTCTGTCTCGGTCAACCTCGGACTCCATCTCGGGTCCATCTCGAACTCCATCTCGGGTCCATCTCGAACTCCATCTCGGACTCCATCTTGGGTCCATCTCGGACTCCATCTCGGACACTTCTACATGTCATGTGTTGGTCCTTTTGGGTCCCTTTTTGGAGCCTCGCTTATTGCTCGCTTCATGCTCGTTCCTTGAGCACTCCGTTGGGAGTTCCACTCTCGCTCTCAACCTTTCAAGTTGGAGCCTTTTCGTTTGGCTTTTGCTTCGGCCACTACCACATGGCACCCTTTCGGCTCCACTTTGGGGCTTAGGGATTTGTGTCTCACATGAGTGTCATGATATGCCAAGTGCTAGGCATCAAGGGGTACTTAAAATGTATATGTTGGTGAAGTGGTATTTCTTTTGGTCTGGGATAAAGTCAGATGTTGAGAAGTACATATGTGATTGTTTGACCTGCCAGGCAGTCAAAGTTGATCATTAGAAGCTCACTGGCCTCTATCATCCTTTACGTGTACCCAAGAATAAGTGGGATAGTATCTCAATAGACTTTATCACGAGTTTGCCCAAGACCTTTCAAGGAAATGATGTTATTTGGGTTGTTGTGGATTGTTTGACAAAGATGACTCACTTCTTCATAGTGAAGATAAGTATTAATGCTTTTGAACTTGCTTAGTTGTTTGTAGATCAGTTATTCAGTCTTTATGGTTTTTTAGGTGACATTATGAGTGATTGAGATCCCAAGTTCATGTCCAAGTTTTGGCAAATGGTCTTTGAGAAGCTAGAGACTAAGCTAAGCACGAGAGCATTCACAATCAGATGGGTAGATAAAGCGCATCTATTAGAAGATCTATTGAGGTCTTTTGTGGGAAACTTGACTCAACAAAGAGTATGGGACAAGTACGTGCCTTTGCTTTAATTTGCTCATAATAGCGCTCATCAATTGGCTATTGGCATGTCTCTATTTATGGTGATGTATAGTTATAAGCCTATGTCTCCCATGAGTTTGAATTTGGCTTTGGTTTAGGTATCTCATGCTTGTGATTTCCTGGAGGATATGCAAGACAAACTTGAGTTGGCAAAGTTGAACATGAGGCAAGCTCAAGATTGAGACAAAAGATGAGTATCATTGTCATCAAGAGTACAAAATTGGTGACAAGGTTTTCCTTAAGCTGTCGAATGCACAATGGTCTCTAAAAGAAGGTGGTAGTGCTAAATTGTCTCCATGGTATTGTGGGCCTTGAACAATTTTACAGCGTGTGTGGGATCTTGCATACACTTTGGATTTGCCAGCTAATTTGAAGATTCATCCAACATTCCATGTGAGCAAGCTTAAAGTGTGTTTGCATTCTGGTGATGTTATGGATTAGTCCATCATTCAGGTTCCAAAGGTTGATGTTGAGAAGGTTGGTCTGGCCAATATTCTTGCTCAAATATTGGTGAAAACACGTCAGAAGACAACTAAGGAGTTGTTAGTTCACTAGAATGGTTATTCCATAGACAAAGCTACATAAGAAACTGAGGATGATATGAAAAGAGTGTTTCCAAGTTTTGGTTATAACTTGGATGACATTCCTGAGGAAGAGGAGAATTGAGTTTTATAGCCATATTGCTATATGATTTGAGCCATTTGTTCTATTCTCATTCTTTTGTTTCCATGACTGTATTGTCATGCAAGAAAGCTGTATTGCTCTCTGTCTTTCATGGCCATTTGTTGCAACATTGATGTTGCCATTTGCACATCTCTTCTCCATGGCCACATTGCCTTGGACTCCCTTCATGTGAAGGTTGTTTAGCTTCTTGAGGTTGCTGTACGTGGCTAGGTCATGAGGGAGGGGAGAATGACACGAACCACAGGAATATTCCAAGAATATTCCATGGCCAGTAATGCCTTAAGGGTTGGGAGGTTGGCCTAGGGTTTGCTCTGTTGTTCATTTCATTATGAATATCATCATAGATAGTCTAAACCTTTGCTGCTCCATCAGCACCAATGATATTGCCACCATTCCAAGGTTAAGTTCCTTACCCTAAGTCCATGCCTTAAAATACCTTTGACCCACATTAATCATGCAGTCAAAGATGGTGCCTACATATCATCAGGCCTGACCTGAGTGGAGAAATGTTAGTAACTTTCTTAGCCATTGTTTTTTAAATCTGAGGAAAGTTTCAGACCCAGTGGATTTTTTCTTCTCATTGGCTAAATTACTCAGATATGGTGGCATCATGCTTTACTGCTGAAAACTTAAAAGCTTGCAGCTCCATTGGATTTAGATCAATAAAACCTTTCCTTTTCCCAGGTCCTGCTCTTTCCATTCTGGGGGCCTGTTCTATATAACCAACCTGTATGGAGTCGTGGACAAAATTGATGCTCGACTGAACAATATTCTGAACCTGGACTGGCTGAAATATATCGAAAAGATTCAGACCCTGTTCATCATAAGCTTTGCATCCGTTTTTCTCATACGATCTGTCCCATCCACTGCGATAGAGGGTCAGTCCGTACTGCAGAACATCAGATCTCTCATGAGACGATTTAAGTGACTTCAAATTGACAAGGTGAACATCGCAAGGAAATTCCTTTTGCACTAACACCAAAGAGCCAACGGGCCCATTTGCCTCTGAGTTTTCAAAAGCTTCAGCCTTTCCCAAATAGACAATTGGCTGATAGTTCAGTTTCACCCCAATAGAATGTGACAA